TTACAAGATCCTTGCCAGTGGTAGGTTTCAAAAATTTCAGTGGTTCAAATCTCACCGGCTCAAGGTTGACTCAGCCTTCCATCCTTCCGAGGTGGGTGAAATGAGGACCCGGATTGTTGGAGGCGATATGCTGACTCTGTAAACCGCTTAGAGAGGGCTGAAAGCCCTATGAAGCGGTATATAAGTCTAACTGCTATTGCTATTGCTAAGTGGATTTCTCCCAAGGACGTGTGACAAACCATGCATGTTCCTACCACAAAGGAGAGGCACAAATTGGCAACGGCATTATAAAGTTCAATATCACCACACAGAAGTGTTGTGTTGCTTCGCAATTATTTGAGAGCATGTTTTTTTTTAACATATAGACAGACAGCCTTATTTCCTTTAGTGTTTGAAAATTGTAAAAGTGGGAAGGAAACTGGAGCTTTATTGGTAATAATTACAATGCTTTGCTAAGCATTTTGGGGGATTTGGCACTAATTTAAAATATAGAGGTGCAGGCTAAATCAGGGTGTTGTTGTTTTTTCTCTCAATGATCCATTTTCTCTAAATCATAATGCAAATAAATTTTGGTGACAAAAGTATTTGCCTCTGTGTATTCTCCTAAGGGAAGTTTGAACACACATGAGAAGACAGCTTCGATAAACTAACATTATCTCTTCTATTGTCATCCATTCTGGAGTTAATTCAGTTATACCCTTAGACTCTTTTCCTCTACCATATTTCCATTATTTTTTGTCACATCCTCCTCCCCAAACGAAATGACTTTAAGGGGATATCTAGAGCTCTTCATAAATGCTGGAAAGGGGTTTTGTATCTCAGTTCTGGTTGTGTATCCCAGATCTCAAGAAGGTGTCCTCCATCCCTCATTGCATTTTTTTTCTCTTCCTCTTTCAGCTCTTTTTTTTGGGGGGGGGGTATCTTTTCACGGCTTCTTTCTCTACTTTTGATAGCCATATTTGTGGAGGAGGATATAGAGCAAGGAGTGTCAAACTCGGTCCCGCCCACGGGGCTGGATCTGGCCCACAGGCTTTTTAGATCTGGAAACAGAAAAGAACCCTGGAAACAGAAAAGAACCAGCCCATGGTGCCTCTACCAGCAAAAATGGAGCTCAGGAGGGCCGCCCATTTTCGCTGGCAGAGGGTTGCAGGAAGCTGTCGCAGTTGAAAATGGAGCTCAGGAGCCTGCTTTCACTACAGTTGTCCCCCAACACAAGTAAGGTCGAGCTGGCCACACCCACCCTGGCCCCCTGAGGTCAAAGACAAGCCTGATGCAGCCCTCGATGAAAATGAGTTTGACACTCCTGATATAGCGACACTGGGCAGAATTGTGTTGAGGATTGTAAGGGAAGGGAGTTGTTTAGAAGGTGGATCAAACCAAAGTCTATGGATCAAAGTATCTCTGGGATCAAAAAGAAAATCTGTTTCTCCCTCGAACCCACAAAAAGGCAATTTTTCAGTGGAAAAAAAAGTCAATTGCCATTACTGTCATGAGTAGCAAGAGTCCGAAACTGTTCTCAAACTAGGGGCTGGAAATTTGAAAATGTAGTGCTACTTCAAACACTGGGACAAGGCCTCACCAGTTCAGCAAACACTCGCTGTTGTAAACATACAATTCTAAATCTGATTGATATACTGAGGGCATCAAATCCTAAATTAAATTCCATGTACAGATCAAACTATACAGAGGGAGCATGTTGGCCTTTCTTTCCAACATCACTGCTGAAGCTATCCACTGAGGAAAAATGGAATTACTGCAAATCAGTCCTTCAATCAACTCTCCTCATCCTCAAAATTGGTCCAGTAGAAGACAACGGTCACAGAGAGTTATAAAAGGACCAAGACACCAATACAGATCTTGACAAAGGCCATCCACTTGTATGACCAAGGCAATTTCTATCCCATACCTGAAGCCAATTGAAATGGCTCAGATTTCAGCCATTCTGTAATTGGTCCCTCATCACCATCTCAATAATCTCCACTGAAAAAGGAAGAATGGTGATTGGTCAGTGAGTTACATAGCACCTCTGAATCCAGGGCAGGAAGAATTATAATCACAATTATAAGAAGCAAAGTATCATTTCATGTAATCTTAAATTATAACTGTACCTTAATCTTTATTTCTTGTAGAAAAGAGTGGGATATCAATAAATATAGTTATAGATCATAGAACCTAAGGGCCAGAAACTAAAATCTATGTACAAAAATAAAAAATAATAATGGTAATGTTCAGAGACTTATCACTAATATACAGTCTAACAAAGTACTGACTGTTATATTGTGTTTCCCTGAAAATAAGACAGGGTCTTATTTTATTTCGACCCCCGAAATAAGCACTTGGTCTTATTTTTGGGGCAGTCTTATTATTTTTGAGGTGCAGGAGGCAACAAACATGGTCACCTCATGGCTACTGCAGTATTGCAATATTTTGGGGAGGGCTTATTTTTGGGGTAGGGCTTATTTTAGCACATATGCTCAAAAGACCAATTGGGCTTATTATCCAGGGAGGTTTTATTTTCAGGGAAACAGGGTATTATGCACAACTTAGGGTCAGAAAAAAGTTCCAAAACCATCAAAATAAATGAATGTGGGGATTGAGGTGAAACATAGTAAAGATGGGCAAAAGGATACAAATCAGATATAGAGAATAATAAGAGGATATAAAATCAGCTTTGGAAGTTAGGCGAAGCCCCTTAGAAAAAGCAGAGTAAGATGTAGAGATGAAGTAAACAAGAACTCACATCCCCATTTGACTGCCGAGCAAAGTTTATTTTGTGTATATATTCTAAGAACACCACTATCTTTCCTAATGAAATTGGGCTTCTGCCCTGCCTGAGTTTGCTATCTCTGCCAGCCAATCATTTGTGACCCTACATTCCACCTCCACCAGCTAATTCTTCACAATCATTTCCCCAGTTGCAAAGCTGAGCAGTAGGTGGCTTCAGGAAAGGCAGCAGAGTTGACTTCTACCAACATGAGGGCAGCTGGAATTCTTGTCCTCTGTCTCTTCTCCTCCATCCTGTCAACAGGTAAGGAATTTAATTTCCTTGAAACTGAAATATAGAAACTTCAGGAAACTCCAAGAAAGGGGTGGAAGACAGGCAGGTTGAGGAAGCCTCTGGTCAATTGTTCTACTACAGGTCCATTTGTTCTGTGGCCATCTGAAGTTAGAACAGGACAGGACAAAATTTGAGCATTAGGCAGCTGGCATGAGTTTACATCCGTTGCAGTGTCCTGGGGTATGTGGCCACCATTTGCAACTTTCCTGACCAGCAGCTTTTGACAAGCAGAATCAATGGGGGGGGGAACTAAACAACCATGTGTTTCACTTAAGGACTGCAGTTATTAACTACCACAAAAACTGGGCACAACTCACAATGTTACTTAGTGGCACAAGCTCCAGTCCCAATTGTGGTCCTACTACCTGTAGCGGATGCAGGATTAATGATAATCTCTTCAAAGTATCAAGAGAGCCAATTTGGTGTAGTGGCTGAAAGTTTTGGATTAGGAATGAAACACTATGAGTCTAGTCATTCGTGAGGAACACAAACTTGGCAAGTGACATTCAACCATTGGACCAAAAAATAGACAATTGATTCTCTCTCAGCCAGAAGAAGTTATTGGCACATCACATCTTAAATGTGCCCAAATCCTGCATCACCAGGAATCAAGAGCCAACGCTGATATCAAAAATTATTCAGAACTCACAGACATTCAGAATTCAGGTTTTTGCAGAAAAGTGGCCTCAGACAGCATCCAAATGGCTTCTTCACAAAACTGGTCTACAGCATAAATACCAAACAATGGGGTGATCCAGTGTCATATTAAAATGTTAGGGGTCTGAGAGGATGAATTTCTCCCTTAGTCTCAATTTGTCTTCCATTTCCACAAGCTGATCTCTTCTCCCACATTTTCAAAGATCTCCAGCAGAAAAACAACAGACATGCTTAGTAAACCAGATTGCAACAGGAGTCTTGAATTGTAAACGCTAGGATAGCAGCATATTCAAAGGTGACATTAATCATTGGCATGACTTCTATTCAAATCTTCTATTTGTAGTGACATCTCTGAAATGTCAGACGTGTTTTTCCCCTGTGAATGACTGTGAAGGAGATAATGTGAAAGTGGAGGAGTGCAAAGAAGATGAAGAATTCTGTTATACTCAAGTTTATAATACTACTATAAGTAAGTGAAAACTGAATTTGTTCTCAAATACATCCATCACTTGATTTCTCGACCATCAAGGAATAACCTGAATGTGTTTCTCATTTTTTACATAATTGTATATATTTATTATAATGTAGAACATGAGAGTTAGAAGGAACCTTGGAGGTCTTCTAGTCCAACTCCCTGCTCAGGCAGGAGACACTAGATTAGACCATTTCAGACAAATGACTCCCCAGTCTCTTCTTACAAGCCTCCTGTGTTGGAGTACCCACAACCTTCTTTTTACTACCAAAGTACGGACATGCATACTAGTTGTTTCTCATCTCGGCTTCTAAGCCGAAGAGCCAGTGCTGTCCAAAGATGTCTCCATGGTCATGTGGTTGGCCTGACTAAACACCAAAGGCACAAGGAGCACATTTTCCTTCCCACCAAAGTTTTTTCTATTTAAATTTTTTACATGTTTTCGAACTGCTAGGTTGGCAGAAACTGGGGCAAATAACGGGAGATCACTCTGTTATGTGGCACTAGGGATTCAAACTGCTGACCTTCTGATCAACAAGCTCAGCATCTTAGCCACTGAGCCACCACATCCCACCCTTTTTACTAGACATACTCAATTCCTGCAACCGTCTTTCGTAGGTTTTAGACTCCAGTCCCCAAACATCATTGTTGATCTTCTCTGCACTCTTTCCAGAGTCTCAACATCTTTGCCAATATATATTGCCCATTTCACTCTCAAGCAAGAGTAAAATGCTAACATTTAGCACCTAAGTTGTGCTAAAACATGATTAACTGGGGACTTTCCTTCAGTAACTTCTCTTGGTGATTCATCGAGGGACAGTAATAAGTCCAATGTTATTTGCCAGATGTGACTTTTTAAACTCTGTGAATTGACATGTACACAGGGACAAGAGAGGACAAGTTAGGAAACACACATCCTGATGTAGCAATCTACACTTTGTCCATTTGAATGTGCATCACAAATTGCAAGCTAAACAGAAGGAGTTTAGATTACTTTGTCACAATGCAAAATTCCGCGTTCAGCAAAAGCTCCAGATTCGGCAGTTGCCTGTGCTTCTATATTACTTGGGAATAAATAAATCTTCAAAGGTGTCAACATCTATGTGAAAAGACAGTGAGGTTTAATCATTCAGGTTAGGATTAGGAACCTCAGTTGCAAAGATTAAACTGGCCAGTTATTCTCTGCAGGTCCAAGAACTAGTATAGTAAGATATATGCTGGGTTGGAAGTTTACTCATTAGTAAGTCAAACTTTCACAGCCCAACTAATCTTAGTGATTTTATAGGAGAAAGTAACAAGTGGAAGTGCTTTGAGCTCCCAGAGAAAAAGGATACACATTTCACGCGCTCTACATGGGGCTGCCTCTGAAAAGTGTTCGGAGACTACAACTAGTCCAGAATGCAGCCGCGCGAGCAATATTGGGTGTACCAAGGTACACCCACATCACACCTATCCTCCGCAAGCTGCACTGACTTCCCATTGGTCTCCGAGCGCAATTCAAGGTGCTGGTTATCACCTTTAAAGCCCTACATGGTCTAGGACCCGGATATCCGCGAGACCTCTTCTGCCACATACTTCCCAACGACCGATAAGATCGCACAGGGAGGACCTTCTCCAGGTGTCGTCAGCCAGACAATGTCGGCTGGCAACTACCCGGGGGAGGGCCTTCCCTGTAGCTGCTCCGACCCTCTGGAATAAACTGCCCCCAGAGATCCAGACCCTACCCACTCTCATGGCCTTCCATAAGGCTCTTAAGACCTGGCTATTCCAGCAGGCCCCGGGCTGTTGAACTCACGATTGAATTTCAGCCCCGATCAGACTGGGTGTATGTTGTGGTCTTTTTAATCTATGTTTTTGTGCTTTTAACTTCTATTTTTAAATGTATTGTTGTAAGCCGCCCGGAGTCCTTCGGGATTAGGCGGCCTATAAATTTATTAAACATCAACATCAACATAAAGTGAAAAAAGGCACGTATTTAGCTATTTCTTCCAAAACAGAACAACCAAATGAACTTGTTTGATAAGCATTTCTTCATTTTCTGCTGACTTCCATATTCCTTTTTTTAATTCCCTTCTGCAGCCAATGGTTCAATGAGTTTGATTATGAAGGAATGCTCAAAACGTGAGCTGTGTTATGAGGGCTTCTTCAGTACCACAATCATAGAGGGTAGATTTGAAATAGCCAGAGGTAACTGTTGCCAGACTGATCTCTGTAATGCAGAACCGCTTCCAAAGTGTAAGTATCTACACTTTCATACATTCTTTTCAAACTCTAGAGTTTTTTAAAACTCTTATTTTTATTTTTATTTTTTGCAAAAAAAATCTTGGGTTCCTTGATTCCATCTGAGCTGGAATTGAACTCAAGTACATGAAAAAATGTGAAGTTGGAGGAGGTTGTGACAGACATTAAAGGGTTACTGGTGATCATGAAACTTTGCTAACTGGAAAATTTGCTTCCTCCAGTGGAAAAATATGAAGAGTTTCAACCAAATGGGTTACTGTGCCCAGGCTGCTTTGCACAAGATGAGGATTCTTGTGAAGCCAATCAATCTGTACCCTGCGTTGGCCAAGAGGATCAGTGTGTTAACCTTTCTTTTATCATTGAGTCTTGTGAGTAGATATTTCCTTCCTTCCTTCCTCCCTCTTTTCCTTTCTTCCTTCTTTTTTTTTAAAAAAAGGAAGATGATCTATTTGGAGAAGCTTTATCATGCATTTAATTAATTAAATGCATCAGGTTTTTCAAAGATCTTTATGGTTCCATAAATGCTACAAGAACATCAAGGCCAAACATAAATATAAATAACAAAGAAACCATCTGTATTACTTTATAATATCCACACTATAGAGTCTCAAATGTACCTTTTCTGTCTTTTTCTTACCCCCAGATGATCATTCCACTGAAAAGCTCACTTACCAAGGATGTACGACAAAGAATTCATGTTCCTTCCCTCTAGGAGCATTTGAGATAGCCAGTGGGCTGATTCAGTTCAATGTCACCACCCTGGAATGCAGAAATGCAGCTTCTTCTGAACCTGACCATCAGTGAGCGTTGGGAAGAGGCGAGCCTTCTTTGCAATTATTGTAAAAATTTGTAAAAGATGAGAAAGTTGGAGCTTTAATAGTGAATTAAGTAGAATTTGGAATCAAAGATGTCTGTGAGTCTCACCTTGGTCAGTAGGGGAAAGCCCTTGATCGTACACACAACATGGGAATTCTCCCCAATGATATCAGTCAGTTCTTTGTCTTGGCAAAAATAATTTCTCCTTGGTTCTCGGTTGCTTATCTCCTTGCTTCTTATCCTGCCTTCAGATGTTTTGGAGGATATGTTGACCCCAAATACTACTGGCAGCCCCTCAAATATTGGAACACTGCTATCATGTCACCCCTAGTCCTGCTTTTTACTAGACGTACCCAATTCCTGCAACCATCCTTCATAAGCTTTAGCTTCCAGTCCCCTAATCATCTTTGTTGCTCTTCTCTACACTCTTTCCAGAGTCTCAACATCTTTGCTCGTGTATATCACCCATTTCACTCTCAAGCTACAGTAAAATGCTAACATTTAACTAACATTTAGCATCTAGGTTATGCTAAAAGAGAATGTGTGTGAAATACAGATTTTGGCATGTATATATCAGTGGTGGGTTTCAAAAATTTGGTAGTGATTTAGGATATGGAGGTGCAGGCTAGCTCAGGGGTATGTGGTCTTTCTTTAATGATCCATTTTCTCTCAATCGTAATGCAAATAAATTTGGTGACAAAAGTATTTGCGTCTGTGTATTCTCCTATGGGAAGTTTGAACACACAGGAGAGGACAGCTTCGATAAATTACGCATTCCCTCCTCTATTGTCATCTATTCTGGAGTCAATTCAGTGATACCCTTAGTCTCTTTTCCTCTGGCATACTTCCATTCTTTTTCTTTTGTCACATACTCCTCCCCAAACGAAATGGATTTAAGGAGATATCTAGAGCTCTTCATAAATATTGGAAAGGGGCTTTGTAACCAAGTTCTGCTTGTGTATCCCAGATCTCAAGGAGGTGCCCTCCATCCCTCATTGCATTTTTTTTCTCTTCCTCTTTCAGCTCTTTTTTTGGTGTCTTTTCACAGCTTCTTTCTCTAGTTTTGATGGCCATATTTGTGGAGGAGGATAGAGAGACGCTGGGAAGAATTGTGTTGGGGATTGCAAGGGAAGGGAGTTGTTAAAGAGGAGGGTCAAAGCAGAGCCTGCGAATCGAAGTATCTCTGGGGTCAAAAAAGAATCTGTTTCTCCCTTCAATCCACAAAAAAAAATTAAGTTAGTGGCCATAGTAAAAACCAATCGCCATTACTTTCAAAGCAAGAGTCCACAACTATTTTCAAACTGGGGGCTGGAAATTTCAAAATGTAGTGGTACTTCAAACACTGGGACAAGGTCTCACCAGCCTCACCAGCCCAAGCTCAGCACCAGTGACGTGCGGTCAGCTTTATGGCTGGTGAGGCACTTTTTAGACTTGCAGACTTCAACTCCCAGAATTCCACAGTCAGGCATGCTCAGTTCCGATTTAAAGCGACAGCATTTTTCCCCCTTGCAAAATAAGTTTTCCCATTTTTTTTCTTCTCCCTCCCCCCCCTTCCTCCCTCTCTCCCCCCCTACCTCCTCTCTCAAACTGACACACACAGAGAGAGAAATTGGATCCCTCTGTCATTCCCACACTCACTCTCAAACAAACACACAGAAGTTGGATATATTTTCCAAAGGCTTGAAAGCAGCTCCTTTGCCATACCCCCCGTTCCCCTGCTGCCTTTCG